GTACAAAGCAATGATTTTTTGCTAAAGTCAATGCGAAAAGTGAGAAACTGAGGTGAAAAAAATTGGGGTAGAGCAAAAAGATCAAACTCATACCTGAAATGTAACCGAACCAAGTGAACCTCTCCTGATGATTGTGTATTTAGCCTTTGGCACCGATGCATGAATCATACAACTCAAAGACTCCCACATGTTCAAACTCAGTGAGTCACCCACAAACATGATCTTCTTCCCCCTCCATTTCTCCAAAAAATACAACCCATTAAACCTGCACCATTTTTATGCATACACCCATTTTAGAGAGGAAAGAAAGAAAGAAAGAGAGTGTGGATAGAGAGGTGTTTTGGAAAGATGGTTAAAATTTATTTTTGACTTTTTTTTTAATTTTTTTTTATAAGGAAGAAGAATGAGTTAAAAATTGATAAGCGAGTGAATTTTTTTGTACCTTGGTAGGTTACATGAGAAGGGCTGCCACCTGTAATTTTGGTAGAGTTTGTCAGGCCTTCGGTACTTTTGGCAGTTGAATTCTGGATCTATGAAGGGACAGGTTGAGAAGTCGTATAGAGGATATGAAGAATCGTATACCCATTTGCCTTGGAAATAATTGCACCCACTTGCAAGCTTCCTGGCTATGGAACTGCTAGCATGCTTGTAATGCTCAGCCTTTGTTTTGTGTAATGAAAACAGAAACAGTGAGAGAAAGAGAAACACAGCTTTCAATATAAAACCCATCCTGGATTCCAAGAGGAGAGGGACTTGGGTTTCTTCAACATTTGCAGCCAAAGAGAGACAGGTGGCAGCTGCAAGTTGGATCATCCATGGCTTATCTCTCTGAAAATGGAGGCTAGAAAGAAACCTATCTAGATAATTAATGGCAAGAATTGCAGTGAGAGCTGTGAACCCATAATGAGCATTGACTTTCAACATCCATTCCACAGCCTCCATGCGAGCCACAGAGATTGCAGAGTCTGCGGTGCCATTGTTGTCATCAAGGTTGAGTGCAAATCCATTATTCTTCAGAATTTCAACCACAGTGACCACTGTTGCAATTGCCATTCCAAGAGCAGACAGCTCAACCTCATTATATTGCTGCATATACCTCTTAGCGAGGTTGACATAGAAGAAGAGGGGTTTTTTGGTGTTGGAGACCTGGATGCGGTTCCTCTTGTGAGATTCAGAGATCCGGACATTGACTATTGATATGAGGGATGAACCTGAAGCACGACCTGTTCCAAAAGCAAAGATTGAAATAATGCTGGGAAAGAGAGAGAGAAGCTCTTCATCTTCCCAAAACAGGTCATGTTCCAATACCAGCAGACGGAAAAGAGAGAGATTATTATCACTTTATCTCTCCTCTCCTAAGCTCTCTATTCCTACAACAACTTCCTCACAGTACAGAGAATCTTCTAATAGAAAAGAATGGTTTTGCTGGTGTTGAAAAACTCCAGCGGGCAGCGAAGGCATGGTTGCCGGCCGGCTGCCCGCCGGAAAGAAAGGAATATAGGCCTAAATCTTATAGCTCTGATATCATCTAAGAAATATTGATAGAGAGAGAAAGAGAATAAATTGTATTATTGATTGCTGAATTGATATATTCTGTCTATTACAAATGGTTCCTTATATAGATGTAGGTGTAGGTGTAGTGGGTTAGGTTTAGTGGAGTAGGTGAGGTGGTAGTGGTGTAGTGGGTTAGGTTTAGTGGAGTAGGTGAGGTGGTAGTGGTGGTAGGTTTATTGATAAATTTTAACACCTTGTAACAATATAATCCTCTTGGAGTTGTAAAAGATGTGACCTCCTGGTCTGGTTCATGCATGGCGATTTGGTGATAGCCTTTGTATGCGTCCAGAAAGCTAAGTCGGTTGTGCCCCGCCGTTAGGTCCACTAGTTGATCTATCCGTGGTAGAGGAAAGCTGTCTTTTGGGCACGCCTTGTTGACTGTTTTGTAGTCGACGCAGACTCGCCATTTGCCATTTTTCTTTGGCACTACGACTGTGTTGGAGATCCATCTTGGGTAGTGCACTTCTCTAATTGCTCCTGCCTCCAGTAGGTTGCCTACTTCTTCCGTCACTATTTCGGCGTGGTGGAGTGCCGATCTGCGTGTGCGCTGAATGACCGGTCTGGCGGATGGGTGGACATTGAGTTGGTGACTGATGAAGTTTGGATCAATGCCTGGCATGTCGTAGGGCGTCCAGGCAAACACTTCGATGTTAGAGGTCAAGAATTCTAAGACCTCTAATCTCTCAGTGCTGGACAACGATGAGCCAAGCAAGAAGAACTTATCCGGTGTAACAACCCTCATACTGTTTACCGATTAATGACTGATTAACCGCTAATTACTGTTAACCAAGACTGATTTTGACTGATAATTGAACTACCTAAGGTACTGAACTGACTGACTGAAAACTGGAATCGAATTGACTGAGTATGTGTATGTTAAATTGTGTTCTATCTGTTTGACTGTTTGACTATCTGTTCCTGTTTGTATGTTTAAACTGCTAATTGAAGGCCTTATCGGCGGCCGAATTAGAAATCGACTGATGTTCCGTGACCCTCATAATTAATGTGATTTTACGGTATATTTACCTGAAAACTGTTTAGGTATGATTAAATTAGATTAAAATAGCTGGACAACGATGAGCCAAGCAAGAAGAACTTATCCGGGTTCTTCTCATCTATTTTTACCTCCACCAAGTCCTCCACCGCTTTTTGATCAGCCTCTTTGCCGACGTCCGCGAATAGTTCGTTGCTTTCAGGTTCCTCCACCAAATGAACGTATCCTTTGGCAGCGCGGCTGCCATTTACCGTGGCGAAACATTGTTTTGACATGATCTGATCTCCATAGACTTCTTCAGTTAGGGAACCGTTACCTGGTGGTAGGATGATGCCACCGAAACGCATGGCGTGCAGCCATGTTTGCCCAAGATGATGTTGTAAGTGGAGGGGACCTTAATACCCAGAACTCCACTTTTGTTACACTTCCTGCTCTGACTGGAAGAATTATTTTGCCGACGGGCCACTCTGGCATGGAGTTGAATCCAATTAGGGGAGATACAGCAGGCGCCAAGTCTTTGTCTTGTAGCTTTAGTTGTTTAAATGTATCGTAGTACATGATCTCACATGAACTACCCTGGTCAATCAGAATCCGCTTGACGTCAAAATCCTTGACTCGGAGAGTGACGACTAGGGCATCATTGTGAGGAAAGTATATTCGATCCAAGTCTTTATCCGAAAAAGACATAACATTTGTTGCCTCTGTCTGCCCCTTCTTGATGGCAGGTTGGGCACTTAACACCTCTCTAAAGTGCTCAGCCTTCTTGATTGATCCCATGAGCTCGCATACACGCTCAGGTTCAAAGACTCCATGCATTACATTGATAATGCCTTGTGGCGGGGCATCAATTGGCATTCCGTTAGGGTGGTTATTATGATCCTGGGGGGCTGGCTGCGTTCCTCCTTTAATGTATTTGTCCAAGTGACCTGCCGCCACCAACTCTTCCAAGTACTGTCTCAATGGCGTGCAATTCTCAGTTCGGTGCCCCTTTTCTTTGTGGAAGGTGCATCGTGATCTTTCGTCATAGTCCTTCTGGGCTTCTCCCAGTTTGGCTGGCCACTTTACGAAAGGCTCATCTCTTATTTCGCTAAGAATCCGATATATCGGTTTCTTGAACACCGTGGTTATGGCAGTGCGGATTCTCAACCATCTTTTATCCGGGTCTTCTCCGTTATCTCGTCTGCCACGCCCGTTTTTATTCTGTCGATCTACGGTATTGACCTTTGCTGAGGTCTTCTTTTCTGGTACTATGGTTGCACTAGTTTTTGCTTTTGCACGTGCGCCATCCTCTTCTACCCTGAGCTTGATTCCTTCAGCGGGAACTATCACCGCACTGACTGCGTGCTGGGAGACGGCAAGGTAAAGGTAGAGTTCCTCACCCGGCTTTGGTGTAACTAACAGTGGCGGAGTAGACAGATATTCCTTGAGCTCGGCCAAAGCTCGGTCACACTGTTCGTCCCACGAGAACTTTGACTTCAATGCTTGAAAGAAAGGGCGGCAGCGATCTGATGACCGGCTTATAAACCGATTAAGCGCGGCGGCCATCCCGGCCAGATGCCGCACGTCCTTAGTCGAGTTGGGCTGCTTCAATTCTTGCATGGCTCTGATCTGAGTAGGGTCTGCTTCGATGCCTCGGTTTGTGACTAGGAACCCAAAAATTTTCCGGATCCCACGCTAAAGGCATACTTTGATGCATTCAAGCGCAGCTTGTGCTTCGGAACAAACGGTGAAGTCTGTAGCCTTGCCAATGCTTTGTCCGTTGGTTCGTAGGCAGGGCGCTGTATTGGCATTCCAACCTCGACGCTTCCATGCGTCCGAGGAGCCAACCGCTGTAAGGCAGAAACTCTGTGCGGATCCCGCGCCCTGGCATCCTCCTTGCATCGTGCTTTCTCTTCGAGCACGGTTCGTAAGTCGGATGATCTGGGTAATTCCGTCTGTCTAGATCTAGTTTGATGCGAATGAGAGGGCCAATATGTGCTTCCTTCAATGTATGATCTTTCAGACTTCGTCCTCTCAGACCTGGAGTGACGAGTTCTAGAAGACCATGATTGAGTATCGCCTGTCCTAAGGCTTCTACTTTCTCCTTGTGAAGGTGTAGTATTCCTACTACGATTTTCTGAGTGGCGAGGGGGCGTTTTGTTTTTGCGCCCCTCTCCTGTCGCCACTTCTTTTTTCTTCATCTGGCGTTTCAAGGCCTCCATGTCCGCCGCCATCTTTTTTATCAATTCATCTTGTTCTTTCACGCGGTCTTCCAGAGCTTGAGGGTCAATTCTCCGTCTTTGCCTGTCTGGACTTTGTGAATGAGAGCGATGGGGGCTGTTATTCCGCCTTCCCCTAGCATCCCTCCTGGAGGTATGTCGTTGGGGCTCCAAGTCCGCCATGGGAGGGACAGCAGGTAATCCTTCACGCCTTGCGCCCCCATCTGGAGTTAGTCCGTCGACGGCGGACTGCGGCAATTCTTCAATGTGTGCCATTGATTGCAAAGGGGAGAAGCTTTAATCAAGAGGTTTTGTTCTGTCTGTATTTCCCACAGATGGCGCCAATTATACGGGAAGGAAATAATTCTCCTCGTATAATCCTGTTGACTAAGTCCACACTCCTCCGTACGACGTCGCTTTGTCACCTGAAAACACAAACGTGAGCTAGCCGGCGGGTGTGTGCCGGAAACCTCTCCGATGCCTAAGTCAGAAAACTTGACAAATAGACAAAGCTCAATGTATTCAGGAAGCAAAATTGTATATTGTGTTATGTTACCTTCTTCCAAAGTGATGCTTGTGAGCTTTTATAGGTTTCGAGTGGCCCAATCCTAGTAGGACTTTTATTTCTCCATGCAGAGTCCTCCTAGGATTCATACTCCTAAAGGATAATGCTTATCCTTTTACACTCCCCACTGCTTAAACCAAGTGGGATGGTTTTTACTATGGCCGAACTACCACATGACCGAAATAATACTTGCTATGCCGAGCCACAGAGTAGGCCGAACTATCCTTAGCTCGGTCTTCTCCATCCACTCCTTATCTCAGTTCTCTCTTGTTCAACCATGGTGTGTTTAGACCGAACTACCGAGTAGCAAGGTTTTGACCGTTCTAACCATACTACGTCGTGACCGGACTAACTCTGAGACCGGCCTAACTCCAAGTTGCCTCTGGATCGGAGTAACTTTACATCATCTTGGACCGAAGTAACTTTATCTCTTGGGCCAGAGTAACTTTACCTTCCTTGGGCCGGAGTAATATTACGGCCTTTTTACACAGTCCTTCATATTTTGGGCCACAAAGTCCATCTCACAGCTCGGCCTAATTTTCACCAAAAATTACCCTCTCAAAACTAATTAAAAATCTATAAAGTAATTCTTTTCTAAAGGTTATTCTTTATCTCTTGGGCCAGAGTAACTTTACCTTCCTTGGGCCGGAGTAATATTACGGCCTTTTTACACAGTCCTTCATATTTTGGGCCACAAAGTCCATCTCACAGCTCGGCCCAATTTTCACCAAAAATTACCCTCTCAAAACTGATTAAAAATCTATAAAGTAATTCTTTTCTAAAGGTTATTTCAGGACAAAGTATCAACTAATTCTTGAGTATATGTAATCTTCTGTTTCACATTTACTAAGTAATTATGGTGTCTAAATTTTTTAAATGGTCTAGAAAAAAAATGGAGAACGAAATTTTTAATCATTGATTGACCTATTGAGGTTGGATCCTATGACTTTCATATGAGAGTCCTAAACTCATGGTTAAATAAGACAAACCGATTAGTTATAAATCTATATAAAGTTGATTTGAAAGAAAAGAACAATCAATTCCCCTTAATTATATAGGGTTCATGGTTTAAAGGGATGAACAAAATTAACTACCCACCCACTTTTTTTTGTTTTTTTTAAATAAAAAAAACCATTTATAAATTAGGAAGGATTGTGTGACAGTTTAGAATCTTTGGACCCAGTAAATGGGTCTACATGAAGAATATTGTAAGAAAATTTCACCATTTATGACTTTTGTTACCCTGATTATATGCCATACGCATTGAATAAATACATATATTTTAAAGCAAATATTAAGAATTAAATTCCAAATTTATCTTTTAAAAAATAAGATTATTTGCACAAAAATCATGCATAAAATGATTGAGAGACAAGATACAAGGGGGTGTATTATTCATCCTATGAATATTTTTGTGCATATAGCACTAATCATCCACCTCCAATCATACAGAGGTATTCTTAATTTTATATTTTTTTGATGTATTTTTTTTTTTTTTTTTAAAGCTGATTACTTCTTTCTCATGGGCTACCTATGCATTTTTTTACAATGATTAAAATTTTATTGGGCATTTATTTTAAGCAAAGAATGAATTTCTCTTTTTTTTCATCCAAGCACAAAAAATTGTGTTTTAGAAGATAACAAAATAACAAATAAAAAGGGTAAATTAGACTTTGACCCTTAAAGTATTAATAAACTAACTGATTTTTTTTTGGAGATTGACCAATGAGTCTCATATTTTGGACTTGTAATCCATATAGTCTTATATTTTTCTTTGTGATTCATTTAGTTTTTTTGAATGTGTAATAACTTATTTGTCCGCCACATTGGAGTGTCACATTTGGAAAAAATACACTAAAGAGTTTTTTAGTGTCACATCATACCCACCACATTAGAGTATCACATTTGGAATAAGTACACTAAAGAGTTTTTCATTTTTTTAGAGTGTCACATCATACCCGCCACGTTGGAGTGTCACATGTCACATTTGGAAAAAGTACATTAAGGAGTTTTTAATTTTTTTTAAAATGTCGTATCATACTCGTTACGTTTTCACGTTTTAAAAAAAGTATATTAAGGAGTTTTTAATTTTTTTTAAAGTGTCGTATCATACTCGTCACGTTTTCACGTTTTAAAAAAGTACATTAAAGAGTTTTTTTTTTTGAAGTGTCACATCATACCCGTCACGTTGTCATATTTGAAAAAAATACGCTAAGGAATTTTTTTTTTTTTTGAATAAAAGTTTTAGAGTGTCACATCATACCCTCCACGTTGTTACATTAGGAAAAGTATACTAAGGCCATGTTTGTTTGGGCAGACATGTGCTTAGAATTGAATTAATAGTTCAATAAAATTATTAATCCGATATTTTGTTAAAAAATTGAAGTACGGACTAACAATCACTACAAAAAAAAGCACTTTTGGCGACTAAATTTTTAGTCGCCAAAAGTCCGTTTTTAGTCGCCGAAAGTCGAAATTTTATTTTTCCCGACAAAATTTTTTTGTCGCCACATTTGTCGCGTATACGTGGTCGGCGGAGGTATTGGCGACTTAGTCGCCAAAATACAGGTCTTTAGCGACCAAAGTTTTAGTCACCA